GAGGCTCCAGCTTAACGGTATTTGGAGGTCAGCACGGTGCTCACGGAAGCCAGGAACTTGTCCAGGGAGGCGTGCACCGCAGGGGTGAAGTCGGCCGGGTGGTGGGCAGCCAGGGTCACCAGCAGGCAGTGGCTCAGGAGCTGTGCAGAGACAAGGCTCAGAGGGGCCGAGGGCCCACAGCCCCCGCCTGCACCACACCTCCCGCAACCCGCGGGGTGCTCTGCCCTGCGAGGAAGGCGTGATCTCGCCCCTCGACCCAAATGGCTCCCGGCCGGCCACTCACCTTGAAGTTGACCGGGTCCACCCGAAGCTTGTGCGCGTGCAGGTCGCTCAGCGCGGACAGCGCGTTGGGCATGTCGTCCACGTGCGCCACAGCGTTGGACAGCGCGTCGGCCACCTTCTTGCCGTGGCCCTTGACCTGGGCAGAGCCGTGGCTCAGGTCGAAGTGGGGGAAGTAGGTCTTGGTGGTGGGGAAGGACAGGAACATCCTGCGGAGAGAGGCGGAGTAGGGGGTGGGGTTCGGGTCCCGCGCCAGGACGGTGGGGCGGGTGAGGAGCCCGGGTCGGAGCAGGGGAGGGAGCCTCACCTCTCCAGGGCCTCGGCGCCATAATCGCCAGCGTGGCCGCCGACCTTACCCCAGGCGGTCTTGACGTTGGTCTTGTCGGCAGGAGACAGCACCATGGTGGGTTCTTTCTGGGACTGTGTGGACCAGAAGAGTGCCGGGCGGCCAGCGCGCCAGGGTTTATGCTCGGGGCGCGGGGACACGCCCGGCCGCGCGGCGCTCATTGGCTGGCGCGGAGCCCTGGGCGCGGCCTGGACCGCAGGGAAGTCCAGGGCAGGGCCTGCGCGGGGCGGGCGGGCGGCTGGCTTGGCCTCCCCCGGGGGGTGCTCGCGGGGCGGGGCGGGGGCCAGGAGGTCTCCGCCTTCCACCCAATGCTCCACTCCCGCCCATCCCGCTGGCCCGAAGCGGGGAGGTGGCCGGCCCGTCGGAGTCGCGCGCTGTGGGCTCTTCCACCCCGGCGTTCAGCGCCACCTTTTCCTTTCGGGAGCGCAAGCGTCCCGAGTGAGGGGGAAGTCAGCCCGCAGCCCTGCCCCGGCCTGACACGCACTGGACGCGCGTCAACTCCGGCGGGGCCAGTGAACACACTCGGCGTCCTGGAGTGCGAGCGGGGTGGCTTCACCCAATCCCAGCGGAGAGGGATGCGCGCACCCGGACGCCCGGCCTGTGGGAACTCCAAAGAATGTCCCCGCAGAGCCCCTCCAGCTCTCAGCCTCGCTTCCTCCAGCCCCTTTTCCCACCGGCGGCGATCGTCACCAGTGTGCTGGAGTGACAGGCACCGGGAAGGAACAAATACCAGCCAGAACGCAACAAGCACCGGGCTGGGGTGTGGGCGGCTCCAGATTCAAACTCCTTTACCGGGGTTGTGGGAGGGGCCGGCGGTGGTGGGTGCTGGTTAAGTCCCCGCTCCTGGGCTCACCCTGGGACCCAGTGCAGTTCGTGTGACGGACTCTTCCACCGGCCTAGAGGTCGTGGTTCACTGTGACACCCCCAGCTCTCCAAATGCTATTTGGTGCAAGGCTTGCTAGGTAAATAGGGGTTAAACAGATAAACAAAGCCACAGGCAGAACATGCCTTGAGCATGCAGCCTCCTTTGGGAGGTAGGCATTCCTCTAATCATCAGGCAAGTACACACAGAGGCGCAGACTTCATCACAGGCTCCGAGGGAGTCTGGACGGGTGGACGAGGCACTCAGGGGGACGGGGTTAGTGTGAGGAGGTGGGCTTCCTGGAGGAGGTGAGACTTAAGGGTATGTGTTAGGCGGAGGAGGTGGAGGAGGGAGGCTTGGCTCGCGGACGGGGAGGGACAGGAGACAGAAGGCCCCTGTGGTTGCAGAATGGAGGTGGGGAGATGTGGGGGTGATGGGGCTGGCTAGCTCCTGTAGGATGAGGAAGGAAGCGGTGGACTTGGAGGGAAAGGGTGAGAGGTGCAGGAGGCCACTGGGTGCATCCCTGCTCATGAAGAGCGATGGTTTGGCCTGGTGTGGTGGCTCATGCCTGTAATCCCAGCAGTTTGGGAAGCCAGGGCGGTAGGATCACCTGAGGTCAAGAGTTCGAGACAAGCCTGACTAACATGTAGAAACCCTGTCTCTACTAAAAATACAAAATTAGCCGTGCATGGTGGTGCATGCGTGTAGTCCCAGTTACTTGGGAGACTTAGGGAGGAGAATCTGTTGACCCCGGAGGGGAGGCTGAGGTGAGGTGAGATGGCACCGTTGCACTACAGTCTGAATGACAAGATTGAAATTCCTTTTCAAAAAAAAAAATACATTTTTTGGGTGATGGTACTGAGCAGAAAACAGCCTGGGAAATCACTCATAGGTTGTTTTCTGAGGTCCTGGCAGAAGACCTTGCTTTTGGTGGTGCATCAGTAGGCAACCTTCAGCCTGCCCCTGCCCCGTTTCCCCAGGACCCTTGCTCAGGCTTTGCCCTCGGTGTCCTGAGGAAGTCCAGGTAAGCTGCCTTGGCCAGAGAAGGAAGTATCTCCGACCAGCTTAGCACTGCTTCTCCCGTTGGCTCTTCTCCTTTCCACCACCTTTCGGCCACCCTGTCCTGACTCTGCTCATAGCCTGAGGGGAAAAACGGAAGAGATGCCAGGGCTTAAAGATACCAAAGACCCCCCCACCTCAGGCCTGGGACAACCTCTTCTTCCTGCTACCTGAACCCTCTAAAGACAAGACATGGAGAATGTATCTCAGCCAACATTTTATACTCTTAGTATGGGAAGAGCTTCGACATGTTAATAAGGAAAGATAAATGACTTATGAGGACAAGGACAAGGGATTATAATGGAAATATAGAAACAATCAGTGAAACTGTGCAATGGCACAGAGCGGAATGGACTGGCTGAAAGGGATGTAGAGGAGACAGTTCACTGAGGATAGGAAGTTGCACACAGGTGTCTACAGTATGATGGTATTTTTGTCCAGAAAGAGGGCCTGCGGCAGTAGTTGGACGTGTAGCCGTGTTCCTTCAGCACGGGATGGGGCCCGTGGCTCAGTCCCAAACCCTTCAGTTTGGTCTCTTCTGGGGGTGGGTGTGAGGACACAGGGAAGAGAGACTCTCCTACTCTAAGTAACACAAGAAACTGTGTGTGTGTGTACGTGTGTGTGTGTCTGTGTGTGAAACTGTGTGTGTGTGTACGTGTGTGTGTGTCTGTGTGTGTGAAAGCATGGGTGGATTTTAGTTTCTTTTTTTTTTTTTTAAATGAGACAGTGTCTCACTGTCTCCCAGGCTGGAATTCAGTGACATGATCGCAGCTCGCTGCAACCTCTGCCTCTCAGCTTCAAGTGATTCTTCTGCCTCAGTCTCCCGAGTAGCTAGGAATACAGGCATGTGTCACCACACCCAGCTAATTGTTGTATTATTAGTGGATATGGGGGTTCACCATATTGGCCAGGTGGAGCCGGGCACTGTGGCTCACTCCTGTAATCCCAGCACTTTGGGAGGCCGAGGCGGGCAGATCACCAGGTCAGGAGTTTGAGACCAACCTGACCAACGTGGTGAAACCCCGTCTGTACTAAAAATACAAAAATGAGCCGGGTGTGGTTGTATGCACCTGTAATCTCAGCCACTCAGGAGGCTGAAGCAGGAAAATGGCTTGAACCTGGGAGGCGGAGGTTTCAGTGAGTGGAGATGGAGTCATTGCACTCCAGCCTGGGCAACAGAGCAAGACTCTGTCTCAAAAAAAAAAAAAAAAAAAAATAGAAAAGAAAGAAAGAAAGGAACTATTGGCCAGGCTGGTGTTGAATTCGTGACTCCTGATCTGCCCACCTTGGCCTCCCAAGTGCTGGCATTACCAGCATGAATCACCAATCCTGGCCCTAGTTTATTTTTTTAACTGTTTTTCTATGCCCAGAACATAGTAACTCTCTGAGAGCAGACCAGTCAGTCGGGAAGGAGGAAGGGGCTGGGTGCTCTTGGCTGTGAGAGAGGAAGATTGAATGGTGGAGATGGGGAGGGAACTCCCCAGCAATTCAGAGCGGTCCATGTCCACAAGAAAAGTGGTGACGGGGCCCCTCTCCCCCTCCGCAAAGCTTGATGAAGTACCTTGAGTGTGGAGGGGGAGGCTTGCTCTGGGCAGGGGCTGGGTTGGCAGTGCTGGTCATGTTCCTAGTCTGGCTGAGAGCCCATGAGCTGTGCAACATCCCCTCATGGATTGCAGGACTTCAGCACCGCGGACAGGGACGTTTCCAGAAGTGGCTCACAGCCCAGGAAGCAGAAGCGCTAGGAGATCCCAGAGGCCTCTGGACCTGAGGAGGTGGAGGGTGGGGCGGTGAGCTGGGGGCTCAGGGCTGGGCACACAGTGAGCTCTGAATGCACCTTAGCAAGTGCAGGAGAAGCGCAGGAGCAAGACGGCCAGGTGCCCTGCTGAAGAGTCTCCCCAGGTGCAGGCCGCAGGCTGTGAGCCTCGCAGCCCCTTCTTCCTTCCCGGCTGACTGGGCTGCTCTCAGAGGGTTACCAGGACAGAGGAAGCGTGGGTGGGGCTGCACCCTCACTCCGGCCACCTACCCTCTGGCAGGAGGGGGCGGGAATGAGAGAAATGTTCTGGCACCTGCACCTGCATGGGGAACAGCCTATTTTGCTAGTTTGTTCTGCTGGGTTTTGCTTTGGTGTAGAGCTTTTTTTTTT